TCCTCCTCCCTCCTCCTCCCCCCCCCCTTGCGGTCCACAGGGCTCGCGCTTCGCCCCCCCCGTCACTGCCCTGCACGTGCCCCCGACCGCGTCGATGTTGAAACACCGCTTCTCCGCGCCGCCGGCAGCACGCCCTTGCCTCCTCCTCCTCCTCCTCCTCCTCCTCCTCCTCCTCCTCCTCGACATCCTCCTCCTCCTCCTCCTCGTTCTGCTCCTCCTCCTCCTCCTCGACCTCCTCCTCCTCCTCCTCCTCCTCCTCCTCCTCCCCGACATCCTCCTCGACATTCTCCCCCTCGACCGCTCGGGTGTCTCTATGACCCCTGGCGCTCGAAGAACGGTCGCGGCAGCGCGCGCGTCCCAAAACAGAAACGCCCCACCCGCTCCAAGTGCGATGCCTTGGTGAGCGAGACTCTGGCTCGGTCGTTTCCAGCCCACCTGAAAGAGGCAAGGGGAGTGGGAAGGACTGCGGGCTCTGGAGGGGGAGAGGGACAACTGCACGTGTCCCATGATTCAGAAAGCCCCGGAATGGTGCATCCGAGCGGCTGTGTTCTGGCTTGCGCGTTTGGTGGGCCTCCGGAAGCAATGCCTAGGCACGACTGTTTGGGGACCTCCTTAAGCAGAAGGCAGAGAGGGAAGGACGGTCGGTTGGCGCAGGGGCACAAACATCAGGGACATGAAAAATAATGGAGTGGAGCAGCGAGGGAAAAATATGGAGCGGCGGAGAACACCCGCCTACGAGGCCTGAGAAGTCCCAGACACATGCGAAAAGGAAGAGACTCCCGCCTGAGAGGTTCCCAACACAACTGCGAAGAGGAGTACGCTAGTACTCTCCCGCTGGAGAGGTCCCAACAACGTGAAGAGGAAGTGGCTCCCGCCTGAGAGGTCCCAACTAATCGCGAAGTGGAAGAGGCTCCCGCCTGAAAGGTCCGCGGCCCCCTGTCGATTCATCGCAGGGGTGCCTGGCGTGCTGAACCCTTTCGGTTTTGGTTTTGGTTCTTTTCCAAAAGAACTCCCCCTGGAGCTTCGGCGCGTTCCGCTGGGATCCCGGAAGGCCGCGTAAACCAACTCAGCGTCCACAAAAAATCCTCCAAAATGGTTCAAGATGGCCTCCAAGATGGCCACGTTGGCCCAAGATGGCCTCCAAGATGGTCCAAGATGGTCTCCAAGTCCGCCCAAGATGGTCCAAGACGGCCTCCAAGACGGCCTAAGAGAGTCCAAGATACAAAGCATCCAAGACGGCCCAAGAGACCTCCAAGAGGTCCTCCAGGAGGGCCCGAAGAAGCCAAAATCATTGATTTGCCTTAGGTTTATGAAGGATTTGTGCATTTGCTCCTTTTCGGCTTTCCGACGACCCAAGACGGTCCAAGAGGCCCCCAATATCGCCCCCACAGCGCCCAAGAGGCCTCCAAGATGGCCTCAGGACTGCCCAAGAGGCCCCCAAGACGGCCCCAAAAGGGCACAAAGACGACCCAAGAGGCCTCCAAGACGCCCAAGATGGCCTCCAAGACGGCCCTGGAGCACCCCAAGAGGGCCCAAAGTCGGCCCAGAGAGGCCCCCCAAACGGCTTCCGACGGCGTCAGACGGGCCAGGAGCCCACCAAGATGGCCGAAGTTGGCTCGAAGCTGGCCCAAGACGGCACACGAGGCCTCCAAGAGGACCTCCAGGAAGGCAGGAAAAAAACAACAATAACATTGATTGTCCTTGGATGTTTGAAAGATTTTGACATTTGCTTCTTTTCGGCCTTCCGACGGGCCGAGAAAGTCCACGAGCGCCCAAAGATCGCCCAAGAGGCCTCCAAGATGGCTCCAGAACGGCCCAAGAGGCTCCCAAGACGACCCCAAGAGGCCCCCAAGACGGCCCAGGAGGTGTTCAAGACACCCAAGATGGCCTCCGAGACGGCCCTGGAGCACCCCAAGAGGGCCCAAAGTCGGCCCAGAGAGGCCCCCCAAACGGCTTCCGACGGCGTCGGACGGGCCAGGAGCCCACCAAAACGGCCGAAGATGGCCCTAAGATGGCCCAAGACAGCCCAAGAGGCTCCCAAGAGGGCCTCCAGGAAGGGCCGAAAAGGCCCAAATCATGTATTCCCCAATCGAAGAGGAAGAAACTCCCACCTGAGATGCCCCCCAACACCGTGAAAAGGAAGATGCCCCGCCTGAGAATACCCAAACAACTCAGTCAAACGGAAGCTCCCGCCTGAGAGGTCCCCAAATAACAATTAACCCAAGAGGAAGGTATATCATCTCTGTAGCTGTCCCAAACCACCCAAAGCTCCAGATTATGCCGCCGGTGGCAACCAACAATGCTGGGGCAGCGGTGCTGGTTCTCCTCTGGAGCTTCGGGATTTCGTTCTTTTAGGGGACAGTTGCAGGGATGAGAGGCCTTCCTCTGGGTGTCTTTGATTTTTGGGAGTTGCCTCCCAGCAGGGAGCCTCCATTCGACTTAGTTGTTTGGAGACCTCTCAGGCGGGGTGCTCTTCCTCTTCGCGTTGTTGTGGGACTTCTCAAGCGGAGCCTCTTCCGTTTCGCGTTTTTGGGGGACCTCTCAGGCGGGAGCCTCTTCCTCTTCGAGTAGCTGTTGGGTCTCTCAGGCGGCAGCCTCTTCCTCTTCGAATTTCCTTTTATCTCTCAAGCGGGGGTCTCTTCCTCTTCGAGTAGTTGTTGGACCACTCAGGTGGGAGCCTCTTCCACTGAGAAGTTTCTGTTGGGGCCTCTCAGGGGGGGACTTCTCCCGTCAAGGTGCATTGTTTTTGAAACCTCTCCGATGGAAGCCTCCTCTTCCTTTCTCCCCTCTCGTCCTCTGATGGAAGCCTACTCCTCCTTCCTCCCTTCTTCTCCCTTCTCATCCTTCTCCTCCTGCTCCCCTCTTCTTCCTCATATTCCTCCTCCTCCTCCTCTTTGCGACTAGATTTGAGAAGAGGGAGGATGAGGTAGACCCCTGCGGGGGGGGAGGTAAAACAACATATGTGTTGCGTGCGCACCACGCCCCGCCTCGAAGGCCCGCCTCGAAGGCACGTGCTGCAGTGTTGATGGATCGCCCCCGTGCTCCCCATACGCGAACGGGGGCGCTGGACAGGTGGGTCTCGTGCTCTGCCCATCGCCGACGTCACAAGATTTCTGTGGGCTGGGCTGGGGACTCGACGCCCGTAGTCGCTCGGGCCTTTAAGCCAGCTGTCCTTTTTCGAGGACACCGTTCAAGCGTACTACCGGACTGCGTGGACTACCATCGCCGCCGACGTAACGCGGCGAGATACGGCCGTGGTGTTCAGAGGCCGCGCGCCCGCAACTACGCGGGCGGGGACGGACGAACCCTACTTTTGCATGTGCGTGCGCGGGAACTGACACTACTACGATGTCCAACGGAAAAACAATCCGATACACAAAATCCCAAGCAACCCCTTGGACAACCCAGCGCGGATCTGGACAACCCCTCTTGGACGAGCCTTCCATGGACTTGTCCATCAGAGATATACTGCTACTCGTGGTTGGGCTTCAATCGGACAGGCAGCATGAAGCTCGATGGCCACGAGCGGCGCAAGAGAGACACCCGATCCAGCCTTCCTGCAACTATGGCGGGCTCCAGCCGTGACGGCGCCAACCCTGTCTCAGGAACCGTTGGAACCGTTCCACCTTAACCGACCTCGTCCCTCAGAGGTTCTCGGAAAATGTCGGCCCCATCTTCCGTATGGGCTTCGCGCCGCGGGGCCGCTTTCTGTGGGCCCTAGGGTAGGAGTCGGCCCCCGGATGAAGGATCCATAGGGGAACAAAAAGTGCTCGGAGGTCGGAATCTGGACGGAGCGCGCCAGCCATGAAGCTCGATGGCCACGAGCGGCGCAAGAGAGACACCCGATCCAGCCTTCCTGCAACTATGGCGGGCTCCAGCCGTGACGGCGCCAACCCTGTCTCAGGAACCGTTGGAACCGTTCCACCTTAACCGACCTCGTCCCTCAGAGGTTCTCGGAAAATGTCGGCCCCATCTTCCGTATGGGCTTCGCGCCGCGGGGCCGCTTTCTGTGGGCCCTAGGGTAGGAGTCGGCCCCCGGATGAAGGATCCATAGGGGAACAAAAAGTGACATAAACATAAAAACTCGGAGGTCCGCGCGGATTTCTCGGATCGGCGCTGGACCCCCCTCCCTGGCGCGCGGAGCGCGCCAGGGGCGGCGCCGGAGGCGCCGCCGGGGGGGCCCAGCGCCGATCCGAGAAATCCGCGCGGACCTCCGAGTATTTATGTTTATGTCACTTCTTGGTCCCCTAATCCGGGGGGGGGGGGGCGGGGGAAACATCGATCTGAGGTCGGCGATACGTCGCCGATGGGCCCTGGCAGCGAGTCCGCACGTCCCCGGCGGGGTGGCGCCATCGGGCCCACCTCGGCAGTCCAGGGGCGACGGGTGGTCGAGGCGCCCCCCCCCGAGCCTGTGGCACGCTCGCGCCGTGATGACCCGGGCGTTGGTTCCTGACACCGCGTGGATCGCTCCGCCTGGAACGATCCCTGGCCATCGCTCGGACGTCCATTTCCTGCGCTTTTTTCGGTTTCGTGCGTGGTTTTTTGGCCAAATGATCAAGGATGCTCCTCGATGGTCCTCGCCGAAGGAAAGATGCACACGTCCGAGCAATTCCAAGATCCGTGACTTCTCGATCGCCAGACCGCCTCGTGCTGCTGGACTCTGGGCCCCTGGCGGCCTTCCGCCTCGAACGCCCGCCGCAGGGCCGCTTTCTGAACGCCAACCGGCGCGAGCCACATTTTGGCCTCCGGCCGTCCCCGTCCTTCGCCGTCGCTCGGACGTCCATTTCCCGTGCATTTTTCGGTTTAGTGCGTGTTTTTTTCGCTCGATGGTCCAGGATCGTCCTCAAGGGTCCTCGCCAAGGGAAAACATGCACACGTCCGAGCGATGCCAGGGTCCCCGTCCCCGTCCCAGATTCTCCATCGTGCCCGCGAGGGCGGGCGGGGGCCTTTTGTCGAGCAGCAGCTCGCCGCCGCGACGCGGTAGGGGTGGGAGCCGTTGGTCAGGAGGCTGCACTTCTTATCCGCCACCCGTGCCGCGGGGCACGGCCGCAGGACGCAGGGGCCAGGGTGGGGGCGGGGGAGGGGGAGGGGGAGGGGGAGGAGGAGGAGGAGGAGGAGGAGGAGGAGGAGGAGGAGGAGGGGAGGAGGGGGGGAGGAGGAGGAGGAGGAGGAGGAGGAGGAGGAGGAGGAGGAGGAGGAGGAGGAGGAGGAGGAGGAGGAGGAGGAGGAGGAGGAGGAGGAGGAGGAGGAGGAGGAGGAGGAGGAGGAGGGTCAGGGGGCGGCCCCTCGGGCCCTCTGCCCACGGTGCGGGCGCGGCCGCGGGACGCCCTCGCCAAGGGGCCCAGCCCCAGGGGCCCCTTTCGCGAGGTGCACCCCGCGGGCCCTCGCAGGAAGCCTCGCAGGAAGCCCAGCCCTGAGAACCCTCGCAAGAAGCCCAGCCCTGAGAACCCTCGCAAGGAGTCCAGCCCTGAATGCAGCAGCGCCTTCGGCGGCTGCGGGAAGTCACCGGGCAGCGCGAGGAGCGGAGAAACCCGGGGTACCCTGACGAAAAGCATATGGTTTCTGGATGCGCGCCCCCGCTGCAATCTTGGAGGCCTGGAAATGGGCACCAGCACCAACACAGGGGTGTTGCCTCCACATGGGGAAGACGATCCTAGATTTCGGTGCTGGTGGAAATATTTCGGTCACCTTGGAAGCCAGAACATCGCCACCATCACCGAGACCGGGATCTTCTTCCCTCGGTGGAGGCGCACCGCCGATGTTGGTGTTGCTGCCAACCTCTAGGCCTGCGACATCCCTCGCTCCTGAAATCTCTTTCAGGGACCCGCACCGCTCGCTCTCAAATCCCCTGGGGCTTTCCGCGTGCCCCCCTGGGCGTCCCGCGTGCCCCCCTGGGCGGTGCCAGGTGGTGGCGCGTGACGTTTTCGGGCCCGAGGGGGCCCCAAGACGGGCCGAGAGAGCCTCGAGAGGCCCTCAAGACGCTTCAAGAGGGCCCCGAGTCGCCGAACGATCGCTCCAAGACGCTCAAGGTGGCCCCCAGACGGCCCAAGAAGCCCAAACCATCTATTTTCCAACTAAGGGGGCCCCAAGACGGCCCCAAAAGGGACCCAAGAGAGAGAACACGAACCGAAACTATGAGACTATGAGCCTTCCGCCGCAAGAGCCCCCAGGAGGCCCCCAGGAGGCGCCCAGAAGGTCCCCAAACGGCCCCGCGAGGCCCCCAGAAGAGGCTCCGAAACGGCTCCCAAGAGGCCTCGAAACTGCCTCCAAGAGGCCTCTCGCAAGATCCCAACGAACATTCCATAGAGTTCATACCCACAACCCAACAACACGGTGCCGGGATGGGCCGAAGGCCATTCGATCCGCCGCCCCCTGTCGATTCATCACAGGGGTGCCTGGCGTGCCAAACTAGATGGTTTTGGTTTTGGTTCTTTTTCCAAAAGAACCCCCCCTGGGGCTTCGGCCCGTCCCGCCGGGGTCCCAGGAGATTACCGAAAACCTGGTTGCAAAGGTTTTTCCTGCTCCAGACGGCTCCAGGACTGCCCAAGATGGTCTCCAAGATGCATCCAAGACGGCCAAGATGGCTTCCAAGACGGCCAAGATGGCTCCAAGATGCGTCTAGGAAGAGCCAAGATGCACTCAACACGGCCTAAGATAGCCTCAACATGGCCCCAGACGGCCCAAGAGGCCTCCGAGACGGCCCAAGAGGCCTCCGAGACGGCCCAAGAGGCCTCCAAGAGGTCCTCCAGGAAGGCCCGGGTAGTCCAACATCACTGATTTTCCTTAGGTTTTTGAAGGATTTTGGCATTTGCGCCTTTTCGGTTTTCCGACGGCCCCAGACAGCCCAAGAGGCTCCCAAAATCGCCCCAAGATCGCCCAAGAGGCCTCCAAAAGGGCCCCATGACGACCCGGCCCAGAAAGGCCCCCAAGACAGCTCCCGACGGCGTCAGACGTGCCAGGAACCCACCAAGATGGCCGAAATTGGCTCGAAGCTGGCCCAAGACGGCCCAAGAGGCCCCCAAGAGGGCCTCCAGGAAGGCCAGAAGAGGCCCCAAAGATTGATTTTTCCAAGGTTTTTGACGGATTTTGACATTTGCTTCTTTTCGGCCTTCCGACGGCCCGAGACGGCCCAAGAGCCCCCGAAGATCGCCGAGAGATCGCCCAAGAGGCCTCCAAGATGGCCCCAGAACGGCCCAAGAGGGCCCCAAGACTGCCCCAAGAGGCCTCCAAGATGGCACAGGAGGCCTTTAAGACGCCCAAGATGGGCCTCCAAGACGGCCCTGGAGCATTCCAAGAGGGCCCCAAGTCGGCCCATAGAGGCCCCCCAAACGGCTTCCGACGGCGTCAGACGGACCAGGAGCCCACCAAGACGGCCGAACATGGCCCTAAGATGGCCCAAGACGGCCCAAGAGGCCTCCAAGAGGGCCTCCAGGAAGGCCCGAAAAGGTACAAATCATTGATTTCCCATTAGTTTTTGAAGGATTGTGGCATTTGCTTTTTTTCTGCCTTCCGACGGCCCGAGACGGCCCAAGTGCCCCCAAAGATCGCCCAAGAGGCCCAAGACACGGCCCCAAGAGGCCCCCAAGACGGCCCAAGAGGTCTCCAAGACGCTCAAGATGGCCTCCAAGACGGCCCAAGAGCCCTCCAAGACGTCCTCCAAGAAGGCCCGAAAGGGTCAAAATGGCCTCCAGACGGCCAAGATGACCTTCAAGATGCCCACGTGTTCCCCGAAGGCTTTCCAAACCGATTCGGGGAACACATGGTCCGATAGCTTGGCAGGTCTGGCCTCAACGTTCGGCCACATAGGCGCTTCCAAAAAGGCAGGGGGCGGCGGTGATTCGCCGTAGGCGTCTTCGATCCGCCGCTCCCTGTCGATTCATCACAGGGGTGCCAGGCGTGCTGAATCCTTTCGCTGTTTGGTTCTTTTTGTCAAAAGAACTCCCTCTGGGGTTTCGGCCCCGCCCGCCGGGGTCCCGGAATGGCCCGGAAAGGGTGGTTCCAAAAGTTGTCTCTGCCCCAGATGGCTACAAGATGGCTTCCAAGATGGCTTCCAAGATGGCTTCCAAGATGGCCTCCAGGTTCGCTCAAGACGGTCCAATATGGCCTCCAAGACGGCCCAGGAGAGTCCAAGATGCCTCCAAGTTCACACAAGAAACCTCTCAGACGGCCCAAGGCGGCCCCAGAGGCTTCCAAGAGGCCTCCAAGACGGCCCAAGAGGCCTCCAAGAGGTCCTCCACGAGAGCCCGAAGAGGTCAAAATCAATGTTTTCCCAAGGTTTTTGAAGGAGTTGCTTTTGTTCTTTTCGAGCCTTCTGACGGCTCACAACGGCCCAAGGAGCCCGAAAGATCACCCCCAGAGCACCCAAGAGGCCTCCAAGATGGCCCTATGACGGCCCAAGATGCCCCCGAGAGGGCCCCAAGAGGGCGCCAAGACGGCTCCAGAGGCCTCCAAGACGCCCAAGACGGTCTCCAAGACGGCCAAGATGGCCTCCAAGATGCTTCCAACACGGTCAAGATGAGCTTCAAGACGGCCAAGATGGCCGCTAAGACGGCCAAGATGGCCCAAGATGGGCCCGAGAGGTTCCAAGATTGCCCCAGAGAAGTCCAAGAGCTGCTCCAGGAAGGCCCGAGGGAGCCAACATCTTTCATATTTCCTAGGTTGTTGAAGGATGTTTCGGTTTGGTGTTCCGACTGCCTAAGACGGCCCAAGGAGTCCCCAAACTAGTCCCAGAGGCCTCCCAGATGGTTCCAGAACGGCCCAAGAGGCCTTCAAGCCAGCCCCAAGAGGGCCCCAAGACGGCCCAAGAGGTGTCAAAAACGGCCAAGATGGTCTCCAAGATACCTCAAGACTGCCAAGATGACCTCCAAGACGACCAAGATGCCATCCAAGACGGTAGAAGTATCCCCAAGAGAGCCGAAGGTGGCCCAAGAGGCGCCCAAGATGCCTCCAAGACAGCCGAAGGTGGCTCCAAGACAGCCTAAGACTGGCCAAGGGGCCCCCAAGAGGCCTCCAAGAGCTCCACCAGGAAGGCCCGAAGAGGCCCACATTATTGTGTTTTTTTTGTTTCTCTCTTCTTTCTTCTTCTTCTTCGTCTTCTTCTTATATATATAACAACGATTTTAGCAATTTCTTCTTTTCAGCTGTCCGACGGCCCAAGACGGCCCAAGAGGCCCACGATATCGCCCCAAGAGCGCCCAAAAGGCCTCCAAGATGGCCCCATGACAAGCCAAGAGGCCCCCAAGAGGGCCCCAACAAGACCCCAAGACGGCCCAAGAGGCCCCAAAGACGCCCAAGATGGCCTCCAAGACTGCCAAGATGACCTCCAAGATGCCTCCAAGACGGCCAAGAAAGAAGGCCTCCAAGACGGCGAAGATGGCCCCACGATGCACCCAAGACGGCCCCAGACGGCCTGAAGATGGCCCCCGCCCGAGGCCTCCAAGACGGCCCAAGACCCCTCCAAGACGTCCTCCAAGAGGCCCGAAAGCTCGGAAACCACCTGGTCCGATAGCTCGCCCGACTCCGTGTTCCCCGAAGGCTTTCGAAACCCACTCGGGGAACGCGTGGCCCGAGAGCTTGGCCAGGCTCAAACCCAACTTTCGGCCACGCAGGCGCTTCCAAAAAGGCAGGGGGCGGCGGTGATTCGCCGTAGGCGTCTTCGATAACAGATGCCCAGCACGAGCTCCTGGGAAAAACCCAGCCACGCGCGGGATGACAGAGGACGGGGCCATGCTTGCGAGTCGTACACCGGGCGCTGCGCTGACAGGACGAAATGCGTGTAAGAGATAACAATCAGACCGCCTGGAATACCAATCCGGCTCTGACTGAGCGGAGTGGCGGCTGGACAGGCCAGGAGCTAGGAGGGGGCGACAATAGACTGGTCCATACCCCAACGGAGATCAAGAGAAATTCGCTGCCCCTCATCGGGGCTATCCCGAACGGCCAATCGACCAAGACCAGTCACTCACGATCTCGTAGGAAGAGGAACACGAGGAGCAAGAGGCGGTCGAGGATGGGGAGGACGCCTGTGCGGTCGCGCAATGCCAAGCTTGTGCGCGACGTCTAGACTGAAGCGCAGTGGGCAGAGTAAACCAAGGATTGCATCAACGGTGCTGCAATGCACCCTCCTTCCCCCAATCCCCTACCCACACGTCCACCCAAAACCTTCCTTCTCACCGTGAGAAGCGCCTTGCCGTTGGGAAAAGGAGCTGCACCGCATTCTCTAACGAGACTCAAGGGAAGGCAAGGCAAGGCGCTCTGCATGCCAACTCAGGTGCCGGATCGATCCCCTGGAGGGTAGTCGAAGAATCTAGCGCAGGATCGGCCAAACGCCGCGTGGGCTATCTCTCATTCGCCCATGGGCGACAATGTGCGCATCATGTCAGGAGGAACAAGAGGGGGCGAGGGAAGGGGAGGGGAGGAAAGGGAGGGGGCGAGGCTCCACGAGGGCGAGAAAGGTAGGGCCAGAAGGCCCAGCGAAGTGTCTCGTTCGGCGCGGGAACCGCCCTCCATCCATAGAGCTGCTACGTCGTTCCAGGCCTCCATCCTTGAATCTGATGCAGGCGTTGACAATGAAGGTGCGCGGCGCTGAGGCGAACAGCCAGCATTGAAAACGCACCGCCAACCATCCTTGTGGCTGTTGCAGCTTCTTTGGATGAATGCGCGCGGTGCTAAGGTGAGATCCCCATTTAAAAAACGTACTGCCCGCCATCCTCGCACATGTTGCAAACATTTAATATGCATGCGCGCGGCGCTGAAGCGAACGCCCCACAGCGAAAATGACGGACGCTCCATCCTAATAACTGATGCAATACGATAAGGTCAAGAAGCGCGGCGCTAAGGCGAGAATCGCATGTTGAGAACGACCCGCCCTACACTTTGTTATTTATTGCAATATGTTGGGTAAGCTGTGCGCGGCGCTACGGCGAGACCCGCATGTAAAAACGACCGGCTCTCCATGTTTGTGGCTGCTGGCGGCTTCTTGGCTTAAGGATCGTAAAATGCAGAGAAATGTCAAGCGTGACTCCTGTCCTGGCATAGGACACGTATGGCGGTGCGACATGGTAACGGTTGGGCGGAGGAGGGGAGGGATATGGATAATAATGAAAGAAAAAGGGGAGGAATGGGGGGGGAGAGGGCGGCTTCCATCGATTCGACGCCAGCCCGACGTGGGTTTGTCATCGATTCGGCAAAGGTCCAACGGTCGACATCAAACCACGACGAAGCGATGGGCGCAACCCGTGCCAAGGGGGATCCAAAGCATATGAGCACAATGGGAGGATATCTTTTCTAGACAGCGTTGAGGGCCGCTTCGTGAACCATTCGCTCCGAATCGCACGGGCACCTCGGTGTCAAGCCACAGCGTGATCCCACGTGTGGGTAGTACAGTCGGACTCGATTGGACAGGACACGCGAGAGGACACAAGACCCTTTCCGAGGGCCACATTGCCACAGGAATGTAGGAAGCATGGGTCGCGAGACACAAGACGCCAAGACACCCTTGATTTGGCAGGGTCGACCTACTAATATGGGCCGACTGTATGCAGTCCCCCAGATGAGAACTGACAGCGGGGCTCCGAGACTCGAAAGCAAGTCGCCCCCTGGCACCGGCGACTCCTGGCCAGGCACAGGTCGCGCAGAACATCTCAACATGGCCTACAAGAGCACCAAATGTCTAGGCGATCGCAGAGAAGCGTGAACCTGCATTGGTATCTGTCCAATAAGAGGAGGAGGAGGAGGAGGAGGAGGAGGAGGAGGAGGAGGAGGAGGAGGAGGAGGTGGAGGAGGAGGAGGAGGAGGAGGAGGAGGAGGAGCTGTGGGACAATTTTAGAATGCTCCCTTCGCCCCTCAGCGAATTGGTCAAAAACCGCGAAACACACGCGCGTGCAACGCCCCTCCACGCGCTCGCCGTGCTCTTAGCCTCGCGCGGCGAAGGACGGCGGGCGCGCGTGAACGATCCCGGATGCCATGAGGGCCTAAGAGCAGCTCGACCTCGTCGATCTCCCATAGGAAGGCACCAACTATACACCAACACCGATCCTGGCCAGGATCACCCTGGGCCCAGGATCGGTGTATACGCCCTCCTGCCTTGCGCAAGAAGGCATATACACCGATCCTGGGTCCAGGGTGATCCTGGGCCAGGATCGGTGTTGGTGTATAGTTGGTGCCCTCCGACCTAAGAGCAGCTCGACCTCGTCGATCTCCCACTCGATTGTGCTCAAAGTCCGCTTCTCGACGGGGAGCGCGCCCATGCAGAGCGGACTGGCCATGGCGTCCGCGGCCCCGGAGTCCTCGCGAACGTTCGTGGGCGCCGCGATGAATGTCGTGAGCCAGAACAAAAACAAATAGACGTGCGGAACTCTGAAAATCTCGTCTACGTAAGCGATAGGCAACCAACCGTGTAAAAGGGACCTCAGAAAGTTCCGAAACGGAATGTATACCTTCGACATCGTGCCATATGACCTCGGCGATAGAAACCACTCACCCAGACTCTCATAAGCAATGCAGCCTGCTCCAACCAGTGTCGATGATGCAGTGCTCGGGGCCACCGGGGCCACGCAATCAATATCAGCCATGGGTAACACACCGAGACGATGGAGCAAAAGTTGTAACTTCAGAGGTACCTGATGCGGGTGGAGGAGCTTAAAGGATAGTTATGCGCGCTCGCTTGCATCCGCGCCTCACGCCCTGCAGCCAGCCGCCCGCGGCGCCAGCAGCGGCGCGCGCTCGGGCCACGGGCCCGCGAGCGACGAGGGGCCACCCATCCCATCGGGCGGCCCGCGCACGGGGTCAAGCAAATGGCCGCCATCATCGGGGGGGCGCTGCGGAGAGTGAAGTCACCGCGACTCGGCGAGAATCCTCCCCAGGCCGTAGGGTGTGGCCAACTTGATCCAGGGCGGCCTTGCACAAGAGGAGACCCTGCTGTCAGAAGTCCACGGGCATTTCCTGCGGCAACCTCTGGACTGGGACGATTATGGCAAACACGACGGCCCCGGAATCTCCAAAACATTTTCCGGGGAATTTCCGCGACTCTCCTTGCAATATCCCAACAAACTGCTGGCGAATCTCAAAAACCTTCGCGCCTTGAAAAAGTTCCGGCGAATCTCTACAACAACTTCGCGCCCTACAGGTCTTCCGTCGAATCTACAACAAATCTTCGCGCCTTAAGAATCTCAAGCAAAATCTCCGCCAGAGATTTTCTGGCGGTTTGCCAGAAAGATCCCCCCACGATTTTCGGGAGATTTCTGCGCGCTGGAGATTATCAGGAGAGTTGCCCGGGATTTTCCAAAAATCTTTGATCGCCCGACATTTTCTGGAGATTCCTGCGCCGCGAAGATTTTCCAGAGATCCCCACAAATTTGTAAAGCCCAAGGACTTTCCGGAGATGTCCCCACATATTGTACAACCTGGCGATTTCCCAGAGATTTGGGGAATGCCCGAATAAGATTTGGAACGTCCCCCCAAGAATCACCCGGATAAAATTCACCCAGATGACCCCGGCCGCGTTTGCCATGCTGACCCAATCTAAGTCAAACTTGATCCTCGAAAAGGAACCAGGTACCTACTGGCTGGCCCATCTCTAGTTTGGCGTGCCTAGAGCAGATCATCCTTGGCACTATTGTTTTTCATGTCCCCTGCAACGTTTGGCTATTTAGCTGTTCGATGAAATGCCCAAGCGCCATGCCGAGGGCTGGCGAATGGCTTCTGTACCGCAGGCGGGCTGGGCGTTGCGCCGGAGATGTTCCTCAGCGAAGATCTTGAAGCTGGCTTGAACCCCCACATGCCCTCTTCAGGGCTTTAGAGGTCGACTTAATGCGTTTCCTCTTCGAACAGCCTTCTTCCTATTACGCGAGGAGTCTATCCCTCCCCCTTCCCCCCCCCCTTGGTCTGGACGTGGGCGGGTTCGACCAGTTTGTCCAAGATGGCCAGCGTTGGCTCCAATTTGGCCCCACGATCCAAGAAAGCCCAAGAGCCAATATCACTCAAAATTGCTTCCAACGTGCTCTCAAGAGGCCCCCAAACCACTCCAATATGGCCGCAAATGTCCACGTGGCCTCCCGAGGCCGCCTCAACGAGGCCGAAAGTTTTCAAAACCGACGGACCACATGTGATTTGTACATTCTCGCAGTTTCGCATTCTATGGGCTTTTGAGGCCTCAAGATTACTCCAACATGACCCACGCGAGCCCCAATCTGTCAGATACCCCGTCGGCACACTCCAAGTCTGAATTGGCCACAGACTTGATGCAGCGTGGAGACATTGCAGCGGTATCCATATGAAGGGAATGCCAGTATGTAATTTCCCACCCACTTTGGCGCTTCGTGTCGTTTGGTTGTCCAAGCTGTATGTTTTGTTGCAGCGACTGTCAGGACAATGATACGGTCGTACCTGCTAATGTTAATGCCCACCACGCGTGATATTGAACGATTCCAATCTTGCTCATTATTTTCCCAACGGGCTAGGCGTTCTTACTTCTACGTGCATGCCGACTACGTTACATAATGGTCTGGACGACCATTGCATGCGGCAATGGCTTCTGTGTGCATCGACGCTTCGGCCTGTCAAATTCATTCAAATGTATCCAACGATTTTTTCCGAGCTGGCTACCATGATTATGTTGCTTGTGTATCCCACGCCCTCGTCTTAGGTTTTACATTATCCCTTCTACTTTCCGACGCCTGCTCCGATTCCTGCTCCGGCACAGTATCGACCAATCAGATTTCAGATTCGTCAACACACCTCAAGTCTGCGTTGGCCACAGACTCGCCGAAACGAGGAAGCATTGCAGCGGTATGTACTGATGCGAACAATTCCTGTATGAAATCTCCGACCCACGTTGGCGCTTCGTGCCATTTGGTTGTTGAAGCTTTATCTTTCGTTGAAGCGACCCAGGAGGGCTCCATGGCGGCCTCGAGGGATACCAAGAGCACCCCCACGAAACGACTCTTTCTTCGGGTTCTGACAGGGGACCGGAATTTAGACCCCCCTCCTTTGACCGATGGCCTCCAAGAGGGCCCCGAAAAAGCCCCAAGAGGGCCCTGGGGGAGCCCCAGCGGCTTCCTAAATGGCCGCAGGAGGGGCCAAGTAGGCTGGCAAAAGGCTGTGATATCTACAAGGATGCAAAAGCGCTCATGGTTGACAGCGGGGCCTGCCAAGGCTGATCCCGACCTTCGGTTTTACTTCTGACCCTGCTCATTCTTCCACGAATTTCTCCTACGCGAATCTGATCGATGCATCTTGCCTGGGCACGGTTTCTGGATGGACTGATGGGGACACTTTTTTGTCGCAGCCGCAGGCGAAGGCGCCGGCGGCGTCACAGGTCGGCTCGGGCTACGAGCAGAACTAATTGCCTAGCGCGCGCAGGCAACAGCATAACCTACCGCTGGGGGAAGCAGGGCTGCGCCGAGGCCAGAGGCTGCTACCGCTGGGGGAAGCGGGGCTGCGTCGAGAGCGGAGGCTTCAAGAGCTGCCGGGGCCGCCAGTAGGCTGTGCAGGCGTGCGGGCATCCCAGGGACGAGACACCAGGATGAGTGAATTGGACCTTGTCGCATCCAGGCGCCAGAGGTCGACGCGCCACAGAGGTGGCGAAGCGCAGGGCTGCATGAACAGTCCAACGTGCTTGGCAGCAGACCATCAAGGGGAACACACATGGTCGACCAAAAAGGCTGAACCACTCCTGAGTCAACCAGCGGACCAAAATCCCACCGGTTAGCGGCAACGGCAGACGCGGCCAAGCTGTGGCGGTGACTGGGGACCAAAAGCCAAGGAAGTGCAAGCACTCGTGCCGGAACTGGCCAGGACGCACGTCACCTCAGCACCAGAGTGCCTCACCCGACTCCACGGAACAAGAATGAGTGCCAAAGGCGCGAGGGTCAGAGCGGGGTCGCAAGCACCGAGGGCGGAGGTGACCAGAGCCCACGAGCCCGCGAAAGACGCGTGAGTCGGAGACGTCACAAAGAAGGGCCAGTGCCAGGGAAACCGAGCCAGGCCGTGGCCAGGTCCGAGCAAAGGCCAGGACTGGTGGGGACACTCTTTCGGTCGCGGCCACCAGACGACGGTCAGGCGGCGAAAGCAAAGTCCGGGACGCGAACTAAGCAAATTAGCTATGACAGGCGCAGGCCGGCCGGCCCACTCACACGGCAGCTGCTGGCTGTGTGAAGCTGAACTGGCCGGCGCACTGCAAGCTCTTGCGCGTGCACAAAAAAAACTGGTGGGGGCACGCGAAGCGTCAATTATTTCCAGCAGTCGCACTGATGGAAGAAGGGCGGCCTTCAGAATGGGGCTCTCGCCTCGGCGCCGCACACTCGTTTCAAACAAATCCAGCGGTTACACGGATGGAGGGCGGGCCGTTTCCAAAATGGGTGTCTCGCGTTTGCGTCGCGCCCGCCCGCCTTCAAACAGCAGTCAGTTACACTGATGGAGGGCGAATCGTTTTCGAACTGACGCTGTTGCATGGGATCTCCCCAATAAAACGTTCACCGACGCTCAAACGCTTTAATATTTACACGAAGCGATTGATTTATCTTTTCAAGTGGGGCTGTCATCCAGTACTTCTTCAGAATATCTGGCCACATGTTTATAATTACATGTGAAACACATGAACACACAGGTGAAATCTGGTACCTTCAGCAAGACTGTTGCTGGAGACTTCCTTGAACATGATGCTCCAGCCGTGTCGTGATCCTTATTACTCGAAGGGGGGAACGCGATTCTTTCTCAAACCAGAACTCCCGCTTGAATTGCAGGCCGATGGCGTCATGTCTTTCAAGTGGGCGCTTCGGGAAGCGACGCAGAATGCTTGTAAAGACTTAGGCGGGTTGGACTTGGGACGTGAGTGTTTTTGCAACATCGTTGATACATTCTGGGCTTACTCTGCTTCTCCTCCTCCTCGGCCGAATGGCGGAACGTCGAAGCCTGAACTCAGATGGTGAACATGAGCAAAGGTGCAGAACAAAAAACGGCAGCGGCATTTCAGAAAAAGAGTGCAAGCTCCTGCCTGCCCCAGTGGGCGCAGGTGACAGTGCGGCGAAAGGACGCAGTCACGAGGGAAGCAACACTCCTCCTCCTCCTCCTCCTCCTCCTCCTCCTCCTCCTCCTCCTCCTCCTCCCCCTCCTTTTTCCTCCTCCTCCTCCTCCTCCTCCTCCTCCTTTTTCTTCCTCCTCCTCCTCCTCCTCTCCCTCCTCCTCCTCCTCTCTCTTCATCGTTCTCCCTCCGGCCGCGGCGACGAAGCCCCCCCAGGACGCCCCGACAAGGCAGACAGCATCAGAAGTCTTTCCTTCTCTTTCCCCTGACCTTCCCACCCACCCTCCTTCCCCCTCCCCCCCTCCTCCTCCTCCTCCTCCTCCTCGTCCTCCTCGTCCTCCTCCTCCTCCTCCTCCTCCTCCTCCTCCTCCTCCCCGAGGAAGGAGACCATGCGCGGGGCAGCAGCGCGTTGGTGGGCCTCAGTGGCAGCGCTCTTCGGTCGGATTGGCAAGCTCCGACGGCGCAGCAAGAAGGCAGTCGAGGACAGGCTGCTTCTGCGCGCAGCAGGGCGCGAGCTGAGCCAGCACGTCCCTGCGCAGGCCAAGAGGTGCT